GGAAACTTTTACGCAAATTCAGTTTTTGACAACAATTATTATTGTCTCATTTTCAGTGGCGCACAGAGGTATTTTAATTTAAAGAGCACGTCATGCAGTGATGCAGTTTAAAAAAGTTAGTCACCCACTCATCCGACTTTTTATTTATATAAAATATTTTTACTTATTATTTACTGTAGTTCAAGGAACTTAATTATTATGGACGCAGTTAATGTTTTAAATGTATAAACTTCCCTGAGAAACTTGCAGTAAAATACACCCACCCCCTCGAGAACACATGCAGTTGCATCACCTGATAACCTGCTTAGGCGCTACTGCTTTTGTTGTAATCTAAAAGCAAATAATCGTAGAATGTAGATACTTGAAATTTGTTCCAAAAGGTTGCATTTTCTATACCTATAATGGTATAAACTATAATTTAAAATATTTGACTATTTTTATGCTGTTTTTATAGACATTTTTAATATCAGTTTTTTTCTATAAATATCGACGAAAAAATGTCTGGTTAGGCAATGCAATAATGGCTTAAACGTGAACATAATGTTCCTTATGTTTTTTTATTAATGCAGTTTAAAAATACTAAAATTGCACAACAGTATTTTTTTAATTATAAATTAAAGCAAAAATGTTAATATAAATCGTCAACATTTCGAAATACATTTACAAATTATTTTCTGGTTAAAAATGTATATAGAAGCACAATTTCAGAATATATAATATATATATATATACCTATATATTGTGTGTAACAATCAAAATAAATTAAAATTTTAAATTAAAAAAAGTTGTTTAATAATTATGAAACAAGTGCATATTAAACGCCTTAACTATTTGACGACTACCAATATGAATACATGCAAACATGTTATTAATCACAAAGAATGTGAAGAATATTATATGGGTACTTAGTATTAGTGCACCAAATACCAATCGTATTTAATTTTGCCGGTTAGCGATTATTTTAGTGTTACCCAAAGCTGGACTAAAGACTCAGTGTCAGTGGTAATAGTAGTATTAACATAATTAATTTTCCTTATATATATATATACCTATCACATTTACAAAAATGTCTAATGCGAAGTAATGAAGTATACCAATAACAAAATCATATATTTTCTGATATCATATACACGATGCACCCTCGAAAAACCCATTATAACTTTTTTTATTTAGTTCTGACTCACACTCACTAATATAATATTATACAAATTTTGTTCAACTGAATCAATTTTTTAAATAAATATTAGGGTGAATTGACCTTATTATCAAACTATTCAAACTTAAATTTAAAAAACATTTTCCATACATTTTATTTATACTAACTGATATATTTTACGAAGACAAAAATACATACTGACTATATATGAATAAACGCTTTGTGTATTACTGTATTAGTACCTATAATTATAATTATTGCAATTCTGTAAGGCAGCCGATAGGTAACCAAAGATGTTGATATACGATTACTGCGGGTATAAATTATTCAATATTTTAAATTCACGACTCTATATCAAATATTATATTAATAACCTTTTAAAATTGCACTATTAGTTATACTGAAATTTCTAAAAAAAAAAAAAAAAAATGTACTATATAACCTATCTGGCGATTTTTAAGTACCTACTTTTTAGGCATCTGCGTGTGTTTAAAATTTAATAATCCATTACTGGCCCAATCATTTGAGACAACACCAAACAACAATAACAGTCGCTACTCCCTATGGCCCCACCTTGTAATCTTTGAGGAAAGAGTGATACGTTTCGTTTGAATATAAATGAGTAATAAAATACTTACGCGAAAATATAAGAACGAGTGTTATTTATATTTGCACCGTTATGACTAATGTCTAATGTGTAATAAATGATAAATTGTAATAAAATAAGGTGCACGATTTTCGATATTATAAGTTGTGCGAAGCGTAAAGGCAACATATCATAGTTATCTAAGTAAGTATAGTAAATGAAAACGACATTTTTGTATAATTTTTTTATATCGTTTACATGAATAATATCTAAATTTTTGGTGGTTATATTTTACTGCAGACAACTATTTTTGTGTTACACCATCAGTGGCGCACACAGGATTTTTTTTCGGGGGGGGTTGTTCTATTAATAATTTACTATAGTATAATCCTATGCTAAAAAATGATAAAACGTTGTATCAAAATAGTATGACCTATATTTGTACATCTAATATATTTTATGGTCTATATTATAATTTTTTAATTTATTATCAACAGTTTAAAGGTCAATGAATTCAAAATGAAAATAATTAACTTGTTTTAATAGAACAATGTATGCAATAAAATATATAATTTTATAAATTTAATGCCAATCTCTAACAAAATCAAATTAAAATAATATGATATTATTTAAATCTTATAATATATTTGATAAGAAATAAGGACATAATAATTGATGAGAAATTTATTCGTGGGTTGTCTCCCTCTCCAGACGCTCGTAATGAAGGAAGACATTTCGGGGGGGGTTATAACCTCCTAACCCCCCCCCCTGTGTGCGCCACTGTACACCATAACCGCAGGCCTGGTCACACAGCTCCAAGTTGACTGAGAGAAGGGAAGTAGTGAAAATTTAAAACGTTATACATACCTACATACTTCACACTAATAATTCTTGTCGTTGTCGGTAACTGTTTTAGTTTTATATGCAAGGCTTGAATTGAATAAGTCATTTAAGAGCTCTGCTAAGTACTAAGTAAAAAAAAAAAATACTTTTGGTAAAGACATTTAGTATTTACGTACATTACTGTAACGTGGTGATTATAGAATTATACTCACCAATCAAACAAGACTAATAACTTATTAATTATTAAATTCCTAAAACCAATTACAAATATATTGAGCAAATAATCACTACAAAGTCACAACTGTTACAACTGGTTTACCAATCAGTCTGTAAGTCTGCTTTGGCAGACATTTGCTTTTAGTTTTAACATTTAAATTAGAAATTTAAGATTAGATAGGTATTATATTATATCATTAATACTATAGTTGAGTTTAAAGTTTTTAAAATGAACTTTAAATGGAAAACTATGGGTTTTTTTAAAAAAAAGCACAATAATTTATCTAAAATTATATTTACAGTTAAAATAAATAGCGCTATTTAAAGAACTTCATAATTTCTATAAAATAAAATGGAACCACAAATTATTCAAAATTAAAAAAGTAAGTGAAAAATAAAAAGTAAATCTATAAATTTAAATTATTAAATTACAAAATCTATCTCTATCTCTAACTTTATAGTTTTTTTTTTATATATATACCTATAACACCATTTATTCATTAATTACAATCTATTCTATCTGTACAACGAATAGATTTGAGTGTGGAATGACAGTGATGGGGTGGTGAAAAGGGAGGTTCACAGTAGAGCTATCTTTATATGAATCTTAAATTTAGCTTTATAATTTATAAAAATTATATAACATTATGGATATTTATAATGATATATAATTTATGCATAGAAATTTAAAAAAAAAAACTAATAATTATAACATTTAATAATGTTGTGATTAATACCAATTCAGAATTGATTTCATATTTTGATTAACAACTAGCAAGATATTAGCAGATATGTCTTCTATTTTTCTTTTTGGACTAAATTTTAAGTACACTTATCACTAAAAATTAGTAACAGTAAAACAAAGAATCTAATAACAATTACAACTTACAACGTTCAAATAAAAAKCAAAAAAAACACTCAATTCAAAAGTGACATACTTAAAATAATTCAAAATCAATGATATGTCAACACACTAATAACTATATAGTTAATATGGGTATATAATATTGTAATAAATTTGAGATATGCACAATAACCAAGAATATGAACAAAGTTTTATCAGTATATGGCAAGTTATCTAGTCAAAAAACAAAACAAATAATTGATATAATAATAATACAAATACATAGATTCATTTATTGATAAACATAGAAAACTAGATTTGAAAAAAATTAAATCAATTTTATTTGAATATCAATGAATAGATTTTCATATTACTTTGAATACATTTAACCATTCACTAAAAAACAAAAACCATTCTAATGTGCATAAGGATTTTTAACTCCTGTTATTGAAAATGTAGGGTTTCATTTCCACAATTTTACTAATTTTTATAGCATTAAAACTTCAAATAATTATAACTTAATCTTGATCAAAAATTACATTTTATAAATTCTTTTAGATCATTTAAATTTTAATTATTCAAAATAGGGTTTKCAGGTCAAAAATCTTATAATGAAAATTAATTTGATTTTTTTTCATATTTTGTGTGAAATGAGAGTAGGAAGGTCTGAAGAAGACCAATCTCATCCAGTATTTGTCCATTATACGAATAATTGTTTACATAATGTACTTAAATATTACAAATTATAATTTTTTTAATGCATTTATGACAATTGACAATCATTAAATATAATATGACATAGTTACATAAAAAACAAACATTTAGTTATATTTTTAAATTTCATTTTATTCATAAAATATACAATATTTTCATGATAATTAATATTTCCCCATGTTAAAAAAATAAAAATAAAACTGTATTAGTGGTTTATAATATTGTACAAATAAGCTAATTATCTGGATGTGGTTGATAAACACTTCGAACAGAAACATTATTAATACAGTTATATTAATTGGTCAAGACATTATATTGATATATACATGTGTATATAAATCAGTTAAAATTTAAATTTATATAGGTAATAATTTGAAGTATGAAAATAATTATTTTGTACTAATTTATTTGTTAAAAATATTATTTTTAAGAAAATAAATTAAGAATATATAACAAAGTACTTAATAAATGTTTTGCGGGGAGAGGGGAAATAAGATTTTGATTAAATCAAATGAACTATTTTTAATGTACATGATGATGTTGAAAATAATATATAATTGAGTGTTTAATTTTCAATTACAATCAATCATACATGTATTTTAAAAAACAAAAAAAATATAATGAATATAATGAATATAATAGTCACAAGACAGGAACAGAATTCAAGTAGATTAAACTGGTAATTTTTTTTTTATAAAGTCTATTACATAATGGCAATTGTAAAAAACAAGAGCCATGAAAAATTCTGTCTGTCTCCAATATATTTTTATTTCAACAGTTCAATATATTATTATTTTAATATTATATAGTCTACATTTTAGTTTTATATAAGAAAATAGTATTTATTATTTTACAATAAGAAATGAATAGTTCAAATTGGTAACATCTAAAAAAATAATGCTTTTCATGTAAAAGGTACAAGGCACATTTATTTCTCTTAAATCTAAAAAAATTTAATTTATATGAAAAAATTTCCAAAAAACATTAGTATTAAATTACAAATTTTTAGTATTCGCTATTCTATTTGAATTCCTTAACCAATTTTGATCAACAGTCAATTTTATATATCCTGACTAGATCACGAAAAAAAATTACAAAAACCTAGTTTACATTAAATTGGAGGAGGAACTATCTGTAAAAACGGGTTTAAAGGAGAAAAGGTAAATTTTCAAAATATTAATTCATGGAATGTGGATGTCATTAAGCTCTAGTTTCCCTTACGTGTTGAAAATAGCATCATACCCTTAACAAAAAGAGCTGTCGTTAAGGACGCTGAACTAATATCACAATGGTATCCTTTGTTTTTACAAAAATTAAAATTAAAAAAAAAAAAAAAAACAATAATTTAGTTTGCTCAAATATCTCGTATAGACAATATTATTGTACAAACAAGATCGACAAACTCGAAACTTAAACGCACATGTTTAACACAATTTGGTTTGAGTCACAAATTCAATAAAATTAGTCTTTATAACTAGTGTTTAGTTTGAGAATTCGAGAATAACATTGTCATCTCAGATTCCATTTTCGGTCACCCTGTGTCATCTGCAAGGATCCAGCAGAACTTCGATCCAAGTAGGACAGGACGTGATCTCCTGCCGGGAATACTTGGGCCCCCATCCTTTGGCGAAACTGATGCGTACGGCGTTCGGGTCGACGGGTCCGACTCGCGCGCCATTTGAATAGCGTATTCGATCGCCGTGCGGGTTGCCCGTGAATATGTTCAGACAGTGGCCGGACGGTACGCGAAAAACCAGATAAGACTGGCTGTCCGGATCGTCCAGCGTAGGCGAATTAACGAACATCGGCCAGTCACTCAGGTTGTACGCCCACACTCCGTCTTCTTCTCGGCTCAGAGCTAGACCTGAATACAAAAAATTAGCCATTAATACCAGCATATAAATTAAACAATATGCAAGTATTTTCTCGAAAAATCGGAGAAAAAAATCACCAAAATTTATTTTTGTTTATTCAGATAAAAAACGTACCTAATCCAATTTTGGTCCTGTTCCTGAGAACTGACTCCGGAGGCCCCTGCGCGGGTGAAAAATGATGTTGAGTAAGGGCAGCTAGAGACAAACCCGTGCCAAGTGGGACATTCCAGAACACATTCACGGATTTTGTTTCAACGGGAAACAGCCTGCCGACTCGTTGCGATAGTTCCCAATACGCCACTTTACACCATTCTAATTCGTTTTGTTTTTCTGCATAAAAACATACAAAAGGCATATCATTAGTTAATAATTTCAAGTTATATTTAGTAACATAATATTATTATCGGTGAGTTGTAAATTTTTTTTAAGTACAAAATATAAAAATATAATATTATTCAATATGCGAATGGAAAATACTATTGTTTTAACGTTAATCAGTGTATATTCAGTGACTTAATTTTAGTTTTAGATAAATAAATGACGTAAAATTATTCACCAATCCATATGGTAGAAGAAAGATAGATCAAAGATCGATACAGTCACAAGATAATTTCCAGTTTTATTTTATCTCAATACAATTGTCAACTACCACATTAAATCATTTTATTTGTATTATCATAAAAATGAATAGCTTATAATTTGCGAGGATCAAATAAAATATATTATAAAAGAAGTATAGAACCTACTCTACATCAGTCATTTCAATTTGTATATGTGAGCCAAACAAATAAAACAACACTGAACACCAGTGGGTGTCCTCACGGGGGATGAGGGAGTCATATCATCTTTTTGGCATACAATTTATGATGAAGCAATTAATGTATATAACGGATTCTGATAATAGTCGAAAATTCAAAAAAAGCTGTGAACGCTAAGACTGAACAAGAGTGCTATAAGACTGCTAGCTATAAAGAAACAGATTAAGTGAAAAATATTAAATAATATCAGAGATCTTTTAGTAATAACAGATAAAGCTTTTAAGAGTGGTTGTTTAATATTTAGAATTTTATTAAAGCAATTTTGCCAACTAGAAATGGAATAATAATATTTAAAAAATACAGTTTTAGTAATACAATTTTACAAGATTATGATATTATTATTCTTTTTGTATAATATGTCAGCATAATACAAATATATCACACACCACTAAGTACTTCCAATACATACCCACAGGTCTATAAATATTTCAACTATTAAAAAACGTTTAACTATCATGGTGACAATAATTTTCCCAGTACACAGAATTCCTGTGTACAGTTGTCATTTACACAAAATTATTAAAATAGCAACATTTTATCAGCAAAAACCAGCATACCGGGAAAAGACTAAGTTCAAACAGGGCCACCGTCTTTCCAAATTAACACGACCGAGTATAAGTCGATACAAAAAGATTTGATTACTGAAAAAATATAATGCGTAAAAGACGTCGAGATGACGGGGCGGTAATTCGGTATCATTAATTAATAATCGTACTGCAGTAATTTCTTCGCTTCTTCGTTTTATCTACGGCGCTTTAATGACATTTCGGCGGTTTGTTTAAGTAATGACGGCAGCGGTATTATGGGGAGGGATGGTGACGACGGCGGCGTTGAAGCAAAACTATAAATCCCATATTATTATTAAACCGGGCGAACCGAAAGAGGGCAAAAACACGTAAACCTCATGGGAGCTACGGTGGTGTTACGAGTTGACGAAGAGTAAGTATGGTCGCGCGGCGCCTGGTATGAACCGGGTGTTCAATAACGACAACCAAGACTACCACTACAACCACCACCAGATGTAATTTATCCGCGCGAGAGAGCAAGACAAGTCCCGTCGCATATACTCGAAATGAGTTCAACCTTCAACAGCACGATAAAAAGAATAAAACCAGTAAAATACATATAATATAAATAAGGGATACTCATAATATTATACAGTCAGGTTTATGTCTATGTTAACAGTACATGAAAAATTACCAGATTAACTGTTCTTATTTGTTAAAGGTATACAGATCATAATATTATACAGTCAGATCAATTGCAAGGTGACACGACCGAGTGCACCGGACCCGGCAAATTCTCTTCAGGCACGTTTTCTTTCTTTCCCATTCAACGACAAAAAATATTCGAACGTACATCACCAACCACACTTTTGGAGAGTACATTATTATATTATTTACCTACAACACAGAAATACACGTGCGCACACGCACGCGCTCGCACCGTATAAACAGGTTTACACAAATGCAACCGAACACAAATGAGACACACAGAACGTGCGTTTGTCGATCGACGACGATAGAGCGTGAGGGATTCGGATTTTAGAGGTACACCAGACAACGCTACGTACAAAACCGTCAATACCGCCGCGACGATCCCGATTCCCGTCGTAGTACTCTACAATCTACACACGACCTACCTACATAGCATTATTATAATAATTACAATAAGAGTACTGCGCATTGCAATCCGTATATCGCGTATCGTAAATAATAAATAATAGACGTGATCCACTGATCCGTACACGTCGGACTTTCTAAACAAAATATAATAATAATAATGATGATAAAACTTATAACCGAACGCACACGCAGTTTGTTTTTGGGTGCACGCGGCATTTCTGGCATTCCGGGCGGCTGTCGGTGGCGGCTGATGGGGCGCCGCCCACCACTCGCATTCCACCGAGGACGACGAAGACACGTCCGACGTCGTCCTTCCACATAAACCTTTATTTATTTATTATTTTTTTTTTTTTAAGGATACTCCGTCGTCACCGCCTAACCGTACACACACTATAATAGGTAGTAATAATAATGATCTGGCGGCGGCGGCGGCGGGTCCCTATTAGTCTTCTCAGAGAACAAACGGCAATCGTCGCTGCTCCCGTGTTTGTTTTTCCATCTCACTCTCTCTCTCTCTCTCTCTCTCCGTTTACCGATCACTCGTTTCTTGAATTCTCTACAAACATATTATATACCTACCTACCCACCACCGGCAGCAGAGCGCGTTGTTGGAGTTCGGTTAAGACATGTAGGTACATAAAACAAACACTCCAATCCTTCCGAGAGTAAAACAATATATTTTACGAGTGTATAATATTATATAATACGAGTTTCATTAAAAAAAAAGATTTAAAAATAACGTTTGAATTGTTAAAAAAAGAATAAAATACTTGGCGATAACCGATTTAATACCCATGTTATGTAAACCCGTTTGTTTAATTTATTATCACTTCCTTATCACTAACTAATCAACGCGCATAATGAATTATAATCAATTACACTCTTGAAATTTAACTGAATACCGACAAGCGACCAAATGGAGAGAATAATTATTATTACCAGTTAGAATGTAGTATTTTGACGGTTTTCGTTCCTGATCACGAAAACAATTAAGGATGTCATGTAAAATAAAAGAGCACAAATCCCTACTAAATTGACTGTCATCTAAAAAGGTTTTTCTATGCCTTAAGAACTCTGAGGCCCACTGAGAGGTTTAGCATTCACGCGCGCTGTTACGGTTCGTGTTCGTAGTTCAGGTAATTGAGAGTTTGCCTTTACGCCCTGCACACGAGCAACGAACCCATCCACGAAGAGAAACTATGTGGCCAGCTGAGGATATCTCGCCACTATACAATTTTTTTCCCCGTTCACGCCGTTTCTGGGTACAATATACGTACCGAAATAATATATCACACACACGTAGCGTTTCTGAATCGTATTTAAGGACTATAATATAGTCTACCACTACATACATTATACTGAAGCATTTTATCCTCGGTCCGCCCTTCCGTCGACAACAATAAAATATTGTAACAATATCATTGTCGACTCCTGAACCTGACCCACTGTGTTTCACCGACGAAAGCAATATAAAATGAAAAAAAATATCTACTATGCGGAGTTTGGTGTAGTGGACGATTAATTAATAATTTCCTAAAAACAATAATAATTTACAATAGTTTAAAGACTACAGATAGAAAACAAACAGTGGGCAAAAAATTAAGAATCACCTCCGTCACAGGATACACGGCGACGGTGATAACAATGGCACAATAATATTATCATCTCGTCATTGTAATACTATACAGATCACAGATGACAATATATTATTAATATTATGGTAATGAACCAACCGAGAGCAGCGGCGGCCGACGAGCACTCGTCTTCCCCGCAACCCACTGCGACGCGCACACGTCGAGTCGACCGGTTATTCGTTATTTGTATTACACACACTCACTACTCACCGTATACACCACATACATTTTTTCATTACTATTATTATAAAGCACAACAGCCGCCGCCGCGCGCGTATATAAATATATATACATTATGTTATTAAACGAATTCCGCGCGTCTCTCTGATGTTCTCGGTCGCACACACACACACGCAGCCCATGTAGTATAATATTAACTGGCCACCACCTCAGGTTTGTGTGTGTGTGTGTTGTACTCTTTATAAAGTCGGCGGCGAAAGCATTGTAATTTTCGTAATTGGCGCCCGCGGGCGTATTGTCGCGAAAACACACGGATCGCGGCGATCAAGCATGGGCGTGCCAACGATAGAGAAGGCTCGCGGGGGATCCGATTAAAATATAATATACGCGTATACGGCTGCCAGCCCCGCGCGCGTGTGTGTGTGTGTCGGAGGCGGCATTTTTCATAGACACAAACGAAAATCGAGTGCGTGTGGGAAAAAACCGACGGCTGAAAATATATTAGAAGGAAACGAGAAATTGACGAGTGCTTTACTCGTTATTATAATGGTATACATTATATTATTATTATACGTCATCTCTCTCACTCCATGTTCTGCGTTATTACTTATTACTATTATTATTATAAGATGCGTAGTCGTAATAACCGGTCTGCGGCGCCGCCGATGTACGGTATATAACAATAACGATTTTCGGGGGGGGGAAAAAAACGCAGAAAACTCTATAATTGTTGGTCGGAAAATCATCCGACAGTGTAGAATATCGCATTATAGTGCCCATCGTTGTATGACCGAGCACGAGAAACGTACGCGGTTTTCGTTTCACGTGTTTATAAGCGCTGTAGACGGCCGTGGTGTCTATCGTGACGAAGGGACGACGACCAAACATCGTTCGTGGCGACATCGCGTCTTACATCACCACCGCTCGTCATCTTCATCGGGAATCGAACACAATAATATTATCATTATTGCATTGGGTCGTTTGCCCCGGCGACGAGCGAGAGCCGAGTTTCGAGCAGTCGTCGCGCCGAGACTGGCGACGGACAGCAACCGGTTTCTTCTGTAGGTATCTGTTGGACGCGCACGCAGTGGGGGCCCCCGTGATGAATGGCCCCGGCGCGGCGGCACGCATTGGACGCCGGCAACCCGGTTAGGCCCGGGCGCCACACAACCCGTCATTAGCATCAACAGTACACAAGACCACCCCACTCCCGACCCGACGAGGATACGCGCGCGCCGGCACAATACAAACATAATAATAATATAATAATGCGTTTTTTTTTTTCAATTATTATTTAGTCGGAGAGCCCTATTCACTGGTCGGAAACGGGTTTCGGGGCGGGGAGAAATTCGGGATTTCGTCACACCGATCTTTACACGGGGTTTGAGAGTTCTTCCCGATGTTGGCGTTTGTATTTTTCGACAACTGCAGCCGAAAGGTCGGTCAAAATACGTCCCCGAACGTGCGTGTTTCGGCGACGACAGTAGTTGTCGAGTTGTTTATTTTTCCGATTTCACGAGTTTTTCACGACGAATCAACAGTGTTGACGTCACGTCACGGGCGCCAGCGATACGGCCCTCAGCCCGCGTCGCTTGTAATGGTTATTTTTATCGGTCTTCGAGTGGCAGAGTGGTGTGGGCGGTGCGGTGCGGTGGTAGAGTGTGTTGCAGTAAGTGTGTGTGTGTGTAGCGTGTACGGTTCGAAAAAAAACCAACGTCGCCAGTCTATATACCCCCACTCGAGTCGCAATACCGGCAAAACACAACACACACAAGTAATAATATTCGTCGTCAACGGCACATATTATTATTATCATCGGCCCGTCGCCGTTGCTGGCACCCGGCACTGCCGCCAAGCCATTATCATCATCGTCGTAGTCGTCGTCGTCGTCGTTGTCCTCCCTCCGCACCACTACGGCCGACTACGACGCCACGACCTCATCGTAACGATAACGCAGCGGTGGCGGTGCGTGGAGAGTGGGAGCCGCCGCCGATCATAGATCGCTGCCGCCAACAGCAGGCGCCGCTCATTACCGACGCCGCGACCGCGAAAACGATAAACAACACGCGCGCCAACAAATAACCCCTCTACCGTCCCCGTCACGAGTGTATAATATATTATAATATGATATTATACTGCACGAGTAATAATCGATAATCCGTCGACGAGACGTATAATATTATGATAATGACATCATGATTGTTACAAATGTGCGGGATGAAAAAAATTAATATTTCTATAATATTATTATTTTATGTTAACGATATTGCGACGTCGACCAGAAACGTTAATAAGAATATGGAAATAACTAATAATCATTTTTTTCAAGTGACGCCGTCTCGACAACAATCCACCTCTTTCCACACCGCAGGCTACCACAACCGTCGTCCATCAAACCGTGGTGCACATAAARTATCGAAGAGGAGTTTTTTATAAATTTTTTTCATCCGATTAAAACCCAAACGATTTTTTCATTATTGCTCATGAACAAAATAATATGACAATAGTCATCCGTACATGCACAATCGTCAGCGGACTACAACGACGACAMCGACTCCGATTGCCCATGCAGCATAGCAACGCGTTCGGGTTCAACATAATATTTTGTTATCCGCGCCGACCTCGTCTCTCTCACTCTCTCGTCACCTCTCCTCCTCCAACCCTAAATGTATATATTGGTCCCGATAAAAGTCTCGAGGCTATAATAACACTGTAAATCGTAATAGTATTACATACTATTATTATTATTATAGGTACACGTGTAATATTTATATATATATAAACATACAGCAACACGACGCGGCAGCAGTGGTGTGCACGCATGCCAGGGGCGGGCGGACGGGCTGGAAGGTCTACGGGTAATTATGTCGTTTCCGTGTGGTCGCCACTCGTAATTAACCTTTGCCGGGTTTTTTTAAAGTTTGGTCGGGCGCCAGTCGGTCGCGCGGGTGCACCGCAAAATGTCATCTGCCGACCCCGCCACCGTACACACAATGTGTATATGTGTACGTGTGTGAGTGTACACGTGTGTACGGGTGTTTGTGTGTGTGTATATAATATATATATAATAAATATTCGGAGAGAGGAGGCACATATGCCGAGACGCCCGGCGCCCACGACAATCACTTCACCGCGCCGTTCTCACGTTCCTATTATTTCGGCCGTCCTTCGCATAAAAAAAAAAAATAATAATAATAAAAGGAAACCCTAACATTGCAAAAATGTATCTTTTATAATATTGAGTATCGCACAACGTATGTATTATCCTGCATCGGTCTGCACTATGTTACATTATTATTATATAGGTATGTGTTTGTGGAGAATGGATGAAAGAAGATGTTATAATATTGAAAACATACGAATGTGTACCTATATAAATGAAAAAACTGCTCACAAAAATCTAAAATTTGCAAACTGTGCAGAGCACGTATACTAAGCCCATAAGATTCAAAACAATTTGCAAAGGACAATGATTATAAAAGGTGTGATAAAGACAGATTTCACACGATTAGCAAGCTAAAAACTATTTGTTTTTCTCGTGAAAACACATTAGCTCAGCTGTTAGTACACGACAAAGCTGCTCATATATTATCAATTATAATTACTACGACGGTAGCGTTTCCATAAATATAATTATTCCATTCGGTCACACTATTGTGTACACACAAAAGTGTAACAATAAGAAAAATATCTACACATAAAAGTTAATCTAAAAATCTAAAAATCAAACTAAATAATAATGCTTACCGTCACCGTCAGTGCTAAACGAACCACGAAGATCGTCATCATTACTATCCCAACTACATTCACTGGGTGCACGATCTGAAAAAACAAATAAATATTTATTACACACTTAAAAATTTCATCTAGCTCAATCCTCAATATTATTTTTCAAGATGTACATAATAGATTTTATAGTTATAAGTTAATATTTAGAAAAGTTGTTTTTGTTGACCGTATATTATTTTATCAATGTTTATTGTTACAAGACTAACGGTGATATCAAGTATTATAATATATATTATACTATATTACGTAATGGCAAGTAACTTATCTCACATTAGTTGTTTTACCATTAAGCGCCGCCCCAGCTGTCATCACCGTTATCATAAAAAACGACTTCCCATGCAAAAGCTGTTATCGACGATGACAATTCTCGTTCAGTGTAAGTAGGTACAATTAAACAAACTATAAACATTGGACGTATTTAGAGGATGTTATTAACTCGTTAACTTTTTTTCACTTTCGTCTGGGAAAATTCGAACGTGACTTCGAAAATATGTCTACCGATATCTCAGGAATCATATTACCGATGCCGATATATATAGGTATGTATAAAAGAAACAAAACAATACGGGAGTAGCATATAGAATATTTATATACCTACCTATTATATTATATATATATATATATATATATATACGATCAGGCCGACATGATGGAAAGAAAAAACAATCTGTAACATTTCTATTGTGTGAGAAAAAATCTACAGTCTGGAGGGGGTTGCGGCGGCGGTACACGTTGCAACAGCTCTTGTGATGCTGTTTTATATATTATTCCTGCTGTTCTCGATCAGATGACCACATTCCCGAGGAATGATTCTCCGATTCGCTCTCTCTGCGGGACCCATCGTCGTCTGTCCTTGCATCTCTCCACAAAACACACACACACCGCGCTGGTTATTTTTATATACGCCATGCTTATAAACGTAATTTTTTTTTTCATTCACCCTTACGTATTCGACATTATGTTGACATTCCGTCTGAGAAAATCGAAAATTATTTTTATCTTTATACTCAATCCAATTATTCAAACTATATCATCAGATGGAACAATTCATAAATTTGTTTAATTTTAGATTAATATAGCTTGCGAGTATTTAGATTAAAACAACAAACACCGACCGCATATAAATGGGGTTGGGGCGCTATAGATCTAGATACCTAATACGAAATTTTCATAAGTACTAAGTGCAATGACTTCCTAATGATTTTTTCGAGTGACTAATATATTACAGACTATAGTTGATTATATAATATATACCAACCATCCAAATTCAGTTCCTATCTGGTCATGGACGCGTGAATAGAAGTCGTGGTCGTGTCAAGTGAGGGAAGGTAAAATTTAAGAATATGGTTATGTAATTAACAACTGTCTTGTACTTGTATACCTATTAACCGTCATGGATATAAATTTAAAAATACACCAAGTATAATAAGTCTTGTTTGATTGACTATTAATAGAGTGCAAGAAAATAATAAAACATGGCTAATAATGAAGTCAGTTGTTATTTATATTTGAGTGGGAAAGTTTATAATGAAAACTGAAATGGGTATATGTATATACTATTTATATCAATAATATAAATATATTTGTTCTTTTAAGTTTGTATTAATATTTTTACCATAAACACAAACCACTTGCAAACGAGTATTGTCTATATTTAAAACTTATTAAAAACAAACTTTAATCAACATTATACCAAGTTCACCTAAAACCTTAAACCAGTCTTTGTAAAGTACTTAAGTAAAGGTATTGAAATACATTTCTAGRTACTCTAATACGGTTTTAAAACCTATGAGCTAATTTAATAAAGACAAATAATTTCTCGAAGTATCTGCACCTATTCAATACATATTATCTACTAATTTTCAAAAACTTATGTTTTTAGTGAATAGTATGATTTTTATTTCAATTACATTAACACGTATATTCTAAAAAACACGGTTAGTTAATTAATAAATCAAAAAACATGTTATGTAAAACTGTTGGTTTTTTAATATCTGTATATTTGTRKTCTAACATTTTTGTTTACTAAGTACGATGTTAAATACTTAGCAAAATAATTATTTGTATCTGTTAAGAGGACGTGATACCCGCATGTGTTGTCTCTGTCTTACATGTGCATTATATAGTAAATTTTACGTTCAGCAGAACACGTGTAGCTCCGTTTGCTTAAAAATTAGAATGAATTGACCTCTTATAAAATTTAAAGGTATGATTGTTATCTAGTCAACCTTATATGCTTTTTAATATATTTAAATTTTAAAGGAAGTTATGAGTATTTTAAGATGCACAAAAAATTCATAATTTTAAAATACTCATAACTCGCTTTAAATTTGATGTAAAATAAAAAACATATGAGGTTGTCTAGATAATAATCTTACCTTTAAATTTTATAAGAGGTCAGTTCACTCTAATTTTTAAGTTAACGGAGCTACACGTGTTCTGCTGAGCGAAAAATGTACCATGTTACGCATTTGTAAGACGGAGACAACACATGCGTGTATCACGTCCTCTTAACTTGATTTCTTTTATTTATATAGTATATTTTAGAAGATTATGAAACCATTTAATATTTATGCCTGTAAAAAATATGTAATCATTGATGTACAAGAACTGATTAACTGATTAAAATAATATCAAATAGCTTCAAATTAATTTTTAAAAATGTTTGTGTAACTATTTAAGAATTTATCAGGGATTTAATATATATTTGATTATTTTTTTCTTTATACTAATATATTATTATGCACTAGTAATAAAACATGATGATACATTATAAGTTTTTATTAAATTTGCGAAAGATTCTTAATTTCAATTATTTTTAAATTCGACAGCCACAAACAATAATAATGATAAATACCTAAACTATTAAGAGGACATAATACTCATATGTGTTGTCTCAGTCTTACAATTTTAAAATATAGTAATAGCCCATGTGGTCGTCTAAAAAATATTCTTACCTTTAAATTGTATAAGACAGCGGTTCCCAACCTGGGGGTAATTACCCCCTAAGGGGTAAAAACACAATTTTTTGAGGGTAAAAGTTAAACTTTTTATTTGTATTTTAAGTACTTATTATCCATTTACACATGTGTATTATAACTGTAAATGAAATTACTCAATACTTTTTTTAGTGTCGGGGGGTATTTGTAAATATCTAACCTGACTTATGGGAAATAGTCTCAAAAAGGTTGGGAACCGCTGGTATAAGAGGTCAGTTCACTCTAATTTTTAAACTAACGGAATTAAATGTGATCTTTACTTGCTATGTTATGCACTTGTAAGACGCAGACACATGCGGATGTCAACGTCCTCTTAATATTAATAAAAATTAAATCATTTCCTAAGAGAAGCARTTTAGATGTATATTATATTTAATAGTACTTGTGAAGGTTAGTATTTGTAAAGAATTATGTGAATTACAAAATATGCTATTCATAACATAATTTGATCAAATATAATATTAGATATATTATGTTAAAAACAAGTAAGTTTAAAGTTTAAATTATAATATGATATGTTGTTAACGATTGTAATTTTGTAATAATTTATAAAAATAACAACATACAATCGCAATATAAAAAGAAAGTTTGTCGCAGTATAATGCTGAGTTCACACCTAGTCTGGTTATTGTAATGATTCTGTTTTTAAAAACAATTTAAAATTTAGATCGTCACGTCCGAGTTGAGAAAAGTTGAGTTTATGTTTTGATTTATTTTCTCGTCTCGTGTCGACTTGGCATAACAGTCAATTGACAGCATCCAAATGTTCAGATTATATAGTTTCTCAATATTTTAAAATATGCATAGAGCCTACTTATAATTTATAGTGTTTATACAAACGAAATGTTTATAGACTACAAGAATTTCGAAGAAAAAAATGTTTACGCTGTTTATTGAACCACTAATAAATTCGCAACTTTCTTGTGATATAAAAAAACTGCAATCAAAGTTTATACGACTCTTTGAATTTCGTATAATATTATTTCCTCCTCACTGCATTTTATAATATATCTTTTTTAATAGTCCTATTTTTGTCGTTCTTTTGTTTTCACCCTCGCTTTAGTCTATATTGGCAATCCGGAAATTCTACGGTACTAGCAAGCTAATCTCCAAGCTTCCACTCGAACGGATTATTATTCACCAGGGTCGTTATATGAGAATGGCCAAGAGGGTGGACCTGAGCAATGCACACGTGTACCTGCTTTGGGCTGCTGTCGCCTGCAGGATTAGGAATTTCAGAGGGGTGAATTTCAGATCGCTTTTCACCCTCCTGTGAAACACCGGAACAGTTTACGACGTTTCCATTCGGGGTAGGCGTCGTTTCGAGCACATGCAACCGGAAGATTACTTTCCAACCGTTTTTGCCTCTCTCGTCGAAAAATAATACTCCTATTTCTACCACAGAGGCAATTTAAACTAGCACTATAAAAAGAATACTTCAGAGAATTCATCTAATAAATAAGACAATATGTCAATATGTTTACACAAGTAATGAACTAGAGTTGTGTGTGTTTAATTTATAGTAGTTTGTTCAATAGGTAATTAAGATTTGATTAAAACTTTAAGCTAAACACAGTTTTTTTTTTTTTTTGGTACGAGTTTCGTATATATTATAAAAATTAATTAAAATAATAATTTTTTTTAGAGAAATGTCAAGGATTGTTAATAATTCGTCAAGCTTATTTCATACTGAAATAAATATCATTAGTCATTACATTTGTGAATAGAAGGGCTAGGAAAATACTTTGGAGTATAATAATTAAAAAAATAAAATCAAAGGAGATTAAAAATTGGTTCGATTATCGAGATCAACTTAATTAAAGGTATCCAACTATTTATTGTACATAATACATAGGAACCTACGTCAAACATGAAAATAATATTTTAAAATGTATTTAATATGTGTATCATAAAAAAAATTTAAAATTTAAATTTGCCTATTCTTAGTATACTACCTCATATAAAATAAAGTTTTATTTAATATGTGATACTATTTTACTTATTAGTTATTATATGGACACCGGTAGCTCCTCGACCGGTTAAATCAGAGTGAAATTGAAAGTCATTGACGCCATAGTTTTTTGGCCTTGTGCCACTGAATATTTTCCATCAAATCATCAAATAGTATGAAAAAAAAAGTGTGTACGTGTAACTCACCTAAGTATTTTCAACGCACGCATTTTGCAAAATATGGTTTTTTATTACGGCATAGTAGTCGCGGGGTACTAAATTATATAAATACTAGAGTAGGAGTTCTGGTGACTAGATATAATACTTTAAAGTTTTAAATTATATCGTGTTTAAAAAATGAACACTTACCTTCGGGTTTCAGTTTTTCCTTCACGAACCTTGAATAGGGAGGCGGAGGTCGTTCTGAAACAATGTGAAACGAAACAATATAGTGGTTATATGTATAGTGTTATTATAATATATTTTCTGTTCGGACCTTTCCCGACGAGACGATGCAGATTGCAAATCACGTCGGAAACTTTTAGTAATCTACTATGTGTACACTGTACCTACATAATATTATTGTGCGAGTTTACAATATTTTTGGCAAGCTAAATGACAGGCGTTTCTTCGTAGATAATTATTGAACTGTGTGCAGCATGAATTATTCACAGACAATCGCAAAATGTATCGTTATTGATTATTATCATTATTCGTTACGTCAGAAAACCGTCATCGGTTAATAAATATTAACTACTATAAAATTGCAACGGACGGACGAATAGTGAAAATAAAATGTATACACAATACACATAGTTCAAAATAATATGTACCAAATATACATATTATTTACCTATAACTACCACGACACGTAATGAATATTTATGGGTATCAACAGTGAAAAAACATCACAGATTTTTTTCTTCTTCTTTCTTTCTCCGCTCTGTCGGCGTGCGAGAGGACCACACAAGTTCGTATTATCCATTTGTACACGCGGGCGCGCCGGCAGACTATTTATACGACGAACAGTCACATACGCGCGCATTCGGGCGCGAGCACACACACACGCATACACACCCGTAATGGATTTTTTAGAAACTCGCAGTCCGAAGAATGATGAAGAGGAGGAAGAGGAGGAGGTTTATCGAGAAAAACGATTATTTCGTTATTTTTTTTTTCCTGGTTTTCGGCCAACGTAAATACGACCGACGTGTGCCAATATACGAGACGACTACGTGTGGCGCCGACCAGTATTTATAAATAAAATATAATAATAAAAAGCGACTCTACTCGGGCCGTTCGGGTTGCGCGCGTCGGAGAGCTATATGGACAATGATCGCCGATTTTTAAATAACCAAATTAGTTTTTTATTTATCATTATTATTATACTATTATTTTCGTACCTTTGGCCGAGGGAATGTGATGACGGACGTCACGTGCTCACGTACCGCCGACGCCGTCACACCGCTGACCCGGCGGAGAAAGACGTACGCGGTCAGAATGGTGGGCGAAGGGGGGACGCGCGAGCGGTTGGGCGCCGCGGCGGAACTGGTGGCGCCGTCGGGTTGCGTGACCGGGTCTGCGCGCTATTTATTTCTCATCCGGCCCGGCCGTTGTACCTAGTCGTCGCCGTCGGGCCAGGTGAAGTGTGACGCAATTGGATCGGCGGATAGTATTATATTATTACTATAGGTAGACCGACTATGTAGCTATAATATTATACGCGAAACAAACAGAGTTCCATGGATGTACTAATATGTATTTGTGTATAACATAATATACGACGGCGACGGAGGACGGGCGAAGGATCGCAAAATAATAGATAACGACGGGATGAAAAAAAAACACTGTTTAAACTGCTGCGGTATTCAAAAAACGTTGTTTTTAACGAGAATCATTGCTCGCCGTACAATAAACGAAACCGGCGCCGCTCCGTCGCAATGTTTAGATTTGAGTTTATCTCTCGCTCGCTGGTTCTATCACTCTCACTCTTTCTCTCTCCAAGTACATATGTAGTGTATAATAACATGCATATTGCATATACATACAAAATTATATTATGTAGAAATAGATGTATATGTACATATTATTACATTAAACTGAACGTGTCAGCCGATCTTATCACTTTCTCTTATCACAACAAACGCGGCGGCAAGTTCCGAGAATATTAAATTACATTGTCGGCGCGCCGCTGAGCCTGCTATACATCACATGAATGCCGCCGCCATAGTGCGCTGCTGCTTATCAGCGACGCGCAGATAGGAAATCCTGGAAAAAAGGCGCGACGAGCGAAGGTTAAATTAATTGCAACAATATTACGGTGTGAATAAAAACGATCGTATAATAACAATATACATGACAGACGAGGCATAAATTCTTATAAAAATGTAAGTAACTTACGATTTGGGAAATGGGAATAGAACGGACCGAAACGGACGACTATTAGCCGTCTTGAGCATCGATAAGAGGTACAAAAAAAAAACTTGAAAAAATGATAAAAATCGGTCATCACTGACCGGCACACCACTGGCAAAGCGTTTTCAAAGGTAGGAGAAATGGGGAAAAACGCTGAAATGTGAACCACCGATCAGCTCGACGTCAAAGTTTAAGCATGTTACGCATAAAAWAGGATAAGCACTTAAGCATGAGAGTAAGGGGTGCTTACCGATTTCACATCGTCTGCTCCAGTGGAACGGGTTGCAACACAACATGTCGGGTTGTTTGGCGGTCTGGCAGGAAGGTGTGCTTTTCAGCTGTTCGACGGTCTTGAGGTCGGGCCACCGCCACAGCCGGCAGCATATGACAGCCGGGTCGGCGAATAAGAACGGCCGGACGGCCACGCACTCGGCCGCGTCCACGCCACCGGTGTCCACGGCACGAAGCAGCGTCTCCAGCTGCCTGTCGTCTAGCCGCTTGAACAGAGCGTTGCGGAATTGCCGTTCGTCCGAGTCGACCGGCGTGGAGGGGTACGCGGACGGAGGTGATTTCGCCRCCCCTGCAACCGGTGGCTGAGCCGCTGCGGCGGACGCCGAGGAGGTCTTTTCCGCACACCTGGCTTCATTGTCTCGGCGTACCCGTGCCTTCCACAAGCGTTTAGCTAATGCCGTCCGTCTCCTCCTGAACATGAACATAAAACACGTGAACGCCGCCTCGCATTTGGTGGCCACTACTTCCGCCGACCCGCCGAACCGAATACTGCGCTGGTCCGCCGGCGACCGGCGTGACGCGGCGGTGGCACCTTGATATGTGATCGCGGCGTGCGCACCACGTTTTCCGGACACATCCGTGTCGGGTCGACCGTTGTCGTCCGTGCGGCGTCGTCCAAGACGATGCCGCAGCCGCCGTCGTCGTCGTCGTTATAATGCACCGCTGCCGGAGACGGCGACAACGACGACAGCTGCGGCCACGGAACTGTACAAGGTGGTCATTTCGCGCGGCAACAACGACAACAACGCAACAAAAATAATAATATTATTGCAGTGRACGTGTGACCGATATAGTTTCGTACCACGTGTCGTCGATTTTAAACGTATATACCGAAAACGCGTTGATTATTGTTAATATTTTATCTGTAGATAACCCTCCTAACACCTGACGTGCGATCGGAAAGACTCAAACCGGCGACCACAACCAAACTGGTCACAAATGACAATATTATGATATTATTAGATATGCACTCGACACACACACTATTACACCGAATGTGTTATTATGTATTTATAAAATATAATGTATTTCAATTATAACAACAGCGGTTAAGATGATTATGTTAGTAATAATAAATAAAAACGTTAATAATGATATTAAGATTATATTTTTTGTTCCGATCGAATATTAGTGCGACGACAGCGACGAAACGAATTGTCGGCCGATCGGTACGAGACTGACGGGTGAGAGAGCCAAACCAAACGGCGGCGAGCGCACACACAGCGTTTGCGTGTGTAGTTACGCGCGTGCGTGTGTGGATTGGAATGGAACGCGGGTCGGCGAGGCGGAGGACGCGCGTGCGTGCGTTCGTGCGTGCGTCGGGTAAAGAAAACGGGAACGGCGACGGCCGCCGACGTCGTCGTGTAACTATGCCGCCAGCCCGGTGGTAACGCCGCAACGCCCCGCCGCTCCAACCGTCATGTGCAGCCGTCGCGCCGCAGCAACACCGGCTCGCCACAGCCGTCGCCACTACCCACCGGCCACCAAGAGTACCGTGTCTCCACGCACGGGGCGCCACCTACCCCGGCGCCACCGGTGTGCAGTGCGACCACGCGCGCCGAGCCGAATGTCGTGGATTTGTCGCACGTGTGGTCTCTCTCTATCTTTTGCTCATTCTCGTTACTCCGCGCGCGCAAACATATTGTTGTTATTAGTTATATTATGACAATTATTATTAAATTATTTTTATTCATTATTATGACGTTCTCTATAGTTGATTTTATAATTTTTTTAACATTGGACAAACATATCCCGGCTCAAAATGTATTCTACTATTAAGTAAAACACCTAACTAAATATTTAATATGCACCTATATCGTTTACAATATATAAAGCACGACCTACGAATGGATTTCTTTTGTTTTCAAATGTTTGAGCATATAATATACAGTACATTAAAAATGCTCATAACTCGCTTGAAAATTGAATTATCGTAAAAAACCAACGTACAAACACAGAATAGATAATGTTCTTACCATCAAGTTTCATAATAGGTCGATTCACTGTAATTTTTAAATTGAAGGAGCTACAAGTGTTCTGCTGAGCGTAAATTTGCTATATTACGCACTGGTAAGACGGAGAAAATATATACCTCTGTTACGTACTCTTAATATGAGGGCTATAAAATATATCAAAATATAATATAAGCGGTTTGACTCTGAAAGAAATCTTCCGAGTTTTTACCTATGTCAACCAATTTTGTATGAAAAATAATTCGTTTACCATCGCCAAATTGCGTCCGTGACGTGAATTGCATTTAAATGCTACCACCACGTATGYACCCAGGAAATCCCCTCCTCCCTTCACTTGTCCCGAGTATACAGGGATTTATAGAYAAATTAAAATTAGTAAATTATTTATGTTTGACTAATTGACTCGTATATATTCGAATTCTAAATACATATTAGGTACAAGGTGTGCGTTGATCACCACATATTTTGTTTTGCAGACCGTAGTTCTTTGATATAGAATATAGATGATACAACACATGCAGTCGTGCACATATCATTATGAAACAAAAACTAGAAATACCAAAAATAATAACAATTACATTTATTGTTATATATTATATCAACGTGTGGCAGGTACCAGATTTTACGATTCTAGTTTTAATTTTTAAAACAATARCGATAATAATAAATTTTATTTTCAGTTAACATTCTTAGTCAGCTTACAATGCTTACATAGTTGTTACTTATGACTATTATTATGGTGTACCTATGTGTAAATACATAAGTGATAATATGGTCCATAGTATATAAACGTATTGATAACTTTGATTGATGGTCGACACTTATAAGGGCAACATATTTTAAGAATATAAAGTATTTTGTATACAAAATAGGTACTTTGTTGGTTTCGTATCAAACGTATAAAACTAAATTTCATTGTAACCATTTTTTACTAAAATTAAAATAAATTAAACAGATAACAAGACTCCTAAATTACAAATATGAAATATCAGGGAAATATTACACCATATTTTGCAGTAGACCATTCCAAAAAAAATATAAAGTTCTCTCACACAATTAAACTTATTTTAACTATATCGTTTTAATATTTCGTACAATTTTGACACGTTTGAATATTCCATGTGTATATGTCAGTAAATTAAATCATAAATTTGAAAGAGTGCTTCTACTCTCAAATTGATTCCTTGAAATTTATTCAAAACTCAGTTGGCCGATCAAACTGCCAAGTTTCGCGTATGGGTGTATAATATATACAAATAATAATGTATATACACAGAAAAACCATTATCGTTTTATAATATTTGTCATTTGATGTTCAAGTATAATAAAAATCATGTGGAAATGTTAACATAATAATGACGACTCACATGTATACACAATAATAATATATACAGTTTTAATAATTTCACCAAAGAAAATAATGACTCGAGACGGTTACCATTTGAACGAAGACAATAATGTAAAATCTATACAATAATAATATAATATAATAAATAATAATATATAAAAATATTACACTACTATAGGTACACAACTGTCACACGTGCGCAACAGAAAAAATAACGAAAATATTCTTGACTTCAAAAAGTTGAATTCTTATAGCATGAATCGTGTTTTTTATTTAGATGAGTTTAACACGCAGAATAAAACGGGAAATTAATTAAATTCTTCAATGGTTATGTCATCTTACAATGCGCGGTTTACTAGAAAATTAAAATAATTGTATTATAATATCACATATACGCGTGGATTAATGCTGATTAAAATCACAATGACTTTTTATGTTTAATGTTGTGTAGAACTGCACTATTTTATGGTCAATAAAAAACGCTTTTTACAAATCAAAAGCAAAAAATTACACGCTCCCGATGCAGAGATTGTAAGGCGGGCTAGCTGTGAAGGCGTGCAATGCGGTTATTACAAATTACAACACTGTTTTTTTTAATCCAAAGGGATAATAACATTAAACAGAAGCGTTGGGTAACTTCGGGTATAATTTATTATATGCGCAGACAGATTTTTCCACCAGGGATCTAAAGTATGACACAATAACAGTTATTTGTTGTGGAATCCAATTATAGTATAATAAATAATGTAAAAGTGTAATTTTATTTTAATTGTTTTTATACCCTGGGTCAATTGTTGTTTAATTACAAAATACTAGGTATTAATTATTATTGTTATTTAATACTCTCACGCTATACCAAGAAAAGTATATCATTTTTTTTTTAATTTAAGTCTTAAGACCATACATTTCTTGACTTTTTATGCTATATACTTATATATATATTTTTTTTTTTGTATATTAGTATTTAGGTACAATATGATATTTGAGCCTTGGTGCTGAGCTCATAATTTTACAATTTTAAGTGGACCAAGGCCTCAGCCAGGCTGATTGTTAATAAACGTAGAATTCATCGTTTTTTTTTTTGTGTGTTTTTGATAATATATAATAAAGCAGAAAAAACATAGATATATCTAGATATATGCATTACAGAGAAATATTATTATAAGATATATAGACAAAATTGTTATAAAATAAATACCTATGTTGTTATGTAGGTATAGATATAAGGTATTTATATTTATTGACGTGGTGTTATGTAATAAATAATAATTAAAATTTATAAATTATAATTATTAACCTCATAATTACAATAGTTTAAATTCGACGAACAAATTTTTATCCGGTAAATCGAACATGACGGTGCAACCTTTTATTTTAACCACAACGACGAGTCCTTCATGATTGTAAATGATTTGACTCATCTATATGGACTTTGGTCCTAAAATAGTTTTACTTTACATTCGTATTCAGTTAAAATTATAGCTTATACTATCGTAAAAGCATATACGTGTACGATATACATACTACATATACGATATACTACATAGTATACGAGTATTAGTGTGCATGATGCCACGATGTACCACCTGTAGCATCAATTTTATCTTGGAAAATAACTTTATAATATCACATGGGTGAATATGGTTTAATTACATGCATATTTGTCCTAAACAATCCTAAAAAATAAATTAGGTTTTTTGAAAACCATTCGAGGACAATCTAGTATTTTAGTTACATCCCTTAAGATCACATTACGCAACTTACTTTATAAAATCTAAATGGGTTGAAAGTAGTATAGTATAATTGTGTCCCAAACATTTATTTCTGTGTCAAAAATATTTGAGAAAAATTTAGTTGTTTTGTTTTATATTAATAAACATTTTAAGTAGGTAGTTATAGGTTTATTAAAATATACACTGTTTGGCTSATTGAAGCCTTTGTTGATTTGCAGATCAACTATGAAAAGCAAGCGCAGTAGGCGCCAGTAGCAAACAATGTATATGCAAAAAAGATATCATTATATTATTATTTTAAAGTATTTTTGATTTGTTAATTTCACTGTATGACTTTTTTRTGGTCACTGATTTGTAACATTGTGGATTTAGTAAAAATAATCAATACTTTTGAAAAAAATTTGAATCAAAAATCAWAGCGCCGGAAAAAATTCAAACAATCTGCAGTGGAGTTGATAAAAAACACTAAATATTTTTACTACGTCCATACCASAAAAAAAATGTGCAAAATGAATTCTATATTGAGTTATATTAAAAATATAACGAATAATGATAAAGTGTRTTATGGCTTATGTGGTTCAAA